TATCCTTACCCGCTTGGCCATCTAGGTTTGAATATGATCCTGAATTTTTGTGGAATTTTCCTAATTTTAGTTGATATTCTATTTGCTACTATATCTTTATTATTATTATTATTATAATTTAAGCATCTTTAATGAACTGTGGTGATTCCATTGTGATCTTACTTTACAAATCGATATTATTTAAAAAGCACACACTAATATTGTTATTGACTACTAATCTAGAATATTCTATGTATATAAACATGCATATATGTATATAATTGTAGAGCGAGAAGAGGAGGAGGAATTTATCGAAAAGGATATTCTTTGCTGGCTCAATTATATTTTGTCTTTTGTAGTGAGTCAAGTTCTTATAGATTTTTGTGGCATACAAAATTAAGCCAGGGCATAAGTTACTTTGAGCTCTCAAGGCAGTTGGTGGTTTTTGATTATGAAATGGTTACTCCTTGGTTTAAGCATTCATATGAATGAAATTTTCAACGTGTAGCACTGTGCATAAATGCAGCTTGTTCAAGGTGTCACACCTCATGAAAGCCCGAAAAGGTAGCGTGAAAATAAACGGGTTTACAGGAGCAAGAATTATATGTTTTTTCCTTCACGTTCCCCAGTGGAACATAGGGCTTCAAGGTAGTTGGCTTGAAGTTTTTGTAGTAGTGTTTATTTTACAGGATGGGGTTGCTAGCCTCATGCCCAACCTTTCCTCTTTACCAGAATTATTTCTGGCTTAGCGAGCGAGGTAGAGGAGTGCTTCAGCCGGGGATCGAACCCCGGACCATGTGCATGGTCTGCGAGCGTCCTAACCGCTATGCCACCGACGCACAAGAATTATTATGTGAAGAGTAGTAAGAATTTAGTGGATTTGGTAGCTGCTAGCTCATGAAAAAAGTGAATACAACTGAATCACTGAGAACGCTCTTTAGTCAAGTCATCAACCAATGGGTTATTCGTCGGGACAACGCCTCAAGAAATAACCTCATGGAAAGCGGATGATCTCATCACCTCTTTTCAATGTGATTACTTAAAGATATTTTTTACGTGTAAATACAATTGGTTGTTGAGCAACATAAGCGATCTCTGTGGCTGACACCATTTATTTTGTCTTTAATATGGTCCTAACATGTCACAACGACTTTTAGATTGTGCGTAACACTGAAATCAGTTACCATCATGGCGTAAGTCGTTAACACTATGTTGGGTTGGTGGGGGGGGGTCTGTAGGCGAGGTCAAACTACTGGTGAATGGGGGGATGTAACAGCAGTGATGTGTTTCCCTCAGATGACTACCTATCAAACCAGTTATGCTACCATTACTCAGCCGACAACTGCTACCTTGCTGTGGTGGTCGGGGGGCTTGAATACCGCAGTGACCCAACAAGCTAAACTGGCTGGGACTCATGTTCCTGCTGATTCTACCTCTGGCGCCGTCGCGACGTTAGCCGCCTGGCTGTCAAAGGTCAGGTATACAATGCTTCGGTGCGGGCTGTCTTGCTCTACGCCTCTACGAGCTGAGGATGTGCGGCGACTCTGCGTGTTCGATCATCGCTGTCTCCTCAGGATTGCTTCCGTTCGATGGCATCATCGCGTGAGTCATTCTGAGGTTCGGTAACGTGTGTTTGAACACAGTGGAGATCACCATTCATTGAGTGTTGTCGTCGTCTGGAAACATCGGCTCCGGTGGCTTGGACATGTGCTGCGAATGTCATCCCAGAGGCTTCCGTACAGGTGTCTCTGTTCGTTGGCCAGCCCTGGGACGGGCTGGAAAATGTGGAGGGGTGGTCAGTCCATGACGTGGCGTCGTGGGATGAAGGATATTTGTACTAGATTAGCATCGGTTGGTGCGTCACGACTCCCTGGTTGGGGTCCGAAAGATGACTCGAAACGTTATCGGATATGACCAAGAATCGTAATCAATGGCGAACGTGTTGCAATTTCCTTCTCTTTTCCCTTCCCGATGACAGTTGATGAATACTGTTTGAACTTGTTAAGTATGACTGTTTTCCTTCCAGATGAAGTTCTTTATCCGTTCTCCACCCCTATATTTTTACTTTTAATCTATGTTGTTTTATTATTATTGTTGTGTGACGCTTCGTCTTGGTGCCATATTGTACCAAGTTTTTTCTGCGTTTAAATAAAACAAAATAATAAATATGCTGCCACTACGCTCTGGAGAGAGGGTCACAAAAAGTGTACCTCTCGACTAGTGGCTGTCTTTAGCCAGCAGTAAGATCTTAATATAAACGTAACTTCAAAAACCAGTTCAGACACGTTGGGGACTGCCAGGACACGTGTCCTGCTTGCCGAACTGCGTCTTTTTACTCTGCAAGTAATGTTAGCTGAAATTGGATTAGGTTGAGCTATGGTCAATCCGAAACTTGACCTTACTCCATATACTCTTTGGTAGTTGCTTTTCCCTACATAGGGTAGGGAAGACGTCATGGTTGAGGCCTGACTGAAAACCATTGAATTAATTAATACGGTCATTGTAGTGCTTCAAAACCGTATTCATTGGTACAGGTGCATCCAGTATTTGTAACCTCCCAGATCCACTAATGTCTCATTTCCTCTACTTTTGTATGCTGTGATTGACTGGTTTGAACGTAGAACTCTTTGCACGGATGTGTGGCAGTTCAAGTTGTCACATTCCACGTAGCACACAAAGCAAGAGTAGGGAGAGATACAGAAGGGAGATAATAACTAAAAATACAAGGCAAAAAGGTTGTAATATGAATATCTTTGTGTTTAACTTGCGCACTGCGATGGTAGTGGTAGTAAGTAATTCCATATTAGTTTGTTTATTAGATGCATGTATCACACACAGTCATTCAGTGAGTGAAACAGTATTTAGTATTTACTGGATGACAAAGTTGTTTCGAACACAATTCATCATTATTGCTGTTCATAATCATACACATCACCAATTATTATGATCACACGACTTCGAAACTTGAGTTTTATAGTTTTCTTTGTCCTCTCCTATTTGTCGTCGTCATTGGAGAAGTAGAATTTTCCAGATATCCAAGTGAACAGGTCTTGAATCATTCCTATTGCAGGCACGTATTTGCAGTTGATTCGATAAACAAAGCTTCTGTTATCAATCGCTCCCTCCCTACACCCTGTTGGTTGTATTAGATTTTGAAACTGTCATCCTATCCCATCCAGCCTATTGTATGGTTGTGTGTAACTGCATGTTGTGCTTTAGCTGAAATATTCTCTAGATTTCTCTGCTCGGTTTTTATGCTGCTCGGCTAGTCTGACTCACTGACCCTGTTCTACTAGTTTGACAAATGCATTTGACCTGACAGTCATTGCAGACAGGGTATTAGATCCTTTAATCGACAAAGCTTGTTTCTAATTGAGTTTGTGGTTGGTTTGAATTCCAACCACTTTTATTCCTGTGTGCCTTGTTAAGAATTCTGCGTAAGGTGGTTTCCGAGGTTCCTTCGTTGTATGGAATTACTACTGATGATTTAGATTCCTTATTATTGGTGTCGTCTTGTAATATGGAAGAACAAAATAATTATAAATCACGAAGAGTGATTGTATCTGTACCAAGCATTGAGAGCGACTTTGAGCCATATCACCATTAATTGTCTCGAGCCATTGGTTTTTACCGTCCCGAGGACCCCAACCAGTCAGGAAGCCAGTCTACACCTTCCTACGTGGCTGGCTGGCTGGCTTAAACTAACTGTTGTGGATTTCATTCACTGGTGAAGTCATGTTTTGGTTTGACCACCACTGGTTAGCTCTTTTCCAACCTGACCATATGTCAGCCCGCTAACATTGCCCATTGTCGAGGAAGGCGATGACTAGGCAATCATTCGTAACACATTTCCTAACCACCTCACTCACTCGATGTAATTTCACAGCCCCGTCGACTGATTTCCCCTCCTACTTACCTAGCACTCGACCGATGCCTCACTTCAATATTGCTCACCTTACAATACCACCAACTAACACGGGAAATAGAACGCAGGCAGACATCTATGATCAAAGACAGCTAGACAGCCTTTTCATGTCTTCCACTATCAATGGCCATGTCTCACGCACAGCCATCCACAAAGAAGGATGGAGCGGAGTGCTGGCTGAGCAGTACACCCATCCTTTAGTCGATAGCCGCAGATCATCAGTTGACGGTCATCTGTGATTACTCTTCAACTCTTTAGTTCCCCCTTATTGCCTGAGTTTTAAAGGTTTCTGTGTCCTCTCCTATTTGTCGTCATTGGGGTAGTAGAATTTTCCAGACATCTGGGTGTACAGGTGTTGAATCATGCTTATTGGAAGTGTTTTCAGTTGATTCGATGAACAAAGCTTCCTGTTACATTAGATGATGACAACACCAACAATAAGGAATCTAAATCATCAGTAGTAATTCCATACAAGGAAGGAACCTCGGAAACCACCACCTTACACGCAGAATTCTTAACAAGGCTGACAGGAATAAAAGTGGCTGCTGGCATTCAAACCAACCACAAACTCAATTAGAAACAAGCTTTGTCGGTTAAAGGAGCAATCCTGTGGAGCCTGTAACCGACAAAACAATTTAGTTTATCTAACACCCTGCCTGCTGGAATGATTGTCAGGTCAAATACATAGGTCAAAGTAGTAGAACAGGAGCAGTCAGTGAGTCAGACTATCCGAGCAGCAAAATCTAGATTAGTTGACCCGAATAAGATAAGAAATCTAGAGAATAGTTCAGCAGCTAATCGCAACCACTACATGCAATTACACACAACCATACAATAGTCTGGATGGGATAAGATGACAGTTTTAAAATCTAATGTCACAGGTTGGAGAGTGGGGAGGATTGATAACAACGGAAGCTTTGTCTATCGAATCAACTGCAAATCAACACGTGTAACAGGAATGATTCAACACCTGTCCAGCTGCACATCTGGAAAATTCTACTACCCCAACGACGACAAATGAAACAAGAAGCTCACTATCGACTGTATTATTATTATTATTATTAAAAGTTTATTCTTTCTATTTTGTGTGTTATAGCGCTGTCACTACACTACATAAATGCAACTCACTGGGACATTTGATGTGAAACTCGGCAAGAGTTTTCTCCATCGAGATCCAACAGCCTCCTCCTATATGACAATGCGTTGTGATTTTATGCCTGCCTCAGTGGACCGATCACAACCTGGCTCAATCAGGGTAAATGAAGGTAACGAAGTGGTTGTTAACATGCCTAATGTAACAAGCACGACATCGGAGAACACAACAGCAACGACAACAACAACTACTACATTTCGTGGGACTGCTCGTTCTGTTCAGAAAGAATGTATTTTGATATATAATAAAAATGTAAGTCTCCTGTTGTTGTTTTTTTTTGCGTAGCTTCTTCTTAATAAACGACAAACTTGGTACATTATGGGAAGCAAGAGATTATTATATTATTATTATTTCCTTTAATTCCTAGAGGAATATATAGGGCTTCAGCCGCTCACGTCTCCATTGCGTTCGTTCGGTTTTCACCTGGCTCCAAGTCTGCCTACATGCTTTCATCATCTTCTCTTCACATGACCTCCTCCTCCATGATGGTTTGTTTTCTGTCTCAGAGTATTGCCAGCCAATCCACCTCCTCCATTTCTTCCTGCTTATTTGTTGCACAATCGGTTCCTGCTGTGTTGGTTGGTTCGCTCATTGCCAGAGATCCCTCCCTGTTGCTGATCTTTTCTGGCCGGCCGGCCATCTGATCTTGAGTGGTATTGAGCGAAGACAACTAGCTGTTGATGAAGGTGTGTAGTTTGTTTGAGGTGCTCATTATGACGCGCTGGCCAAGTCTCTGATCCATCCGTATAGTGAGTAGCACTGACTGACTTCACATTGGAGTTGAAAATCCGGATCTTATTTTCATTTTCATGCTGAGTGCTGTTGACCTCCACACAGACTTGAGAGTAATGAAAGCTTGTCTTGCTTTCCCGATCCTCGCTACTTTGATATCCTCGTCAGTTCCGTCGGCCTGTAGTTGAAACGATGCTTCCCAGGTAGGTGGTGGGTAGGTGAAGGAGGTTGTTTCTTTCAGGTTCCTCCCATTTATGCTGGCTGATTGTTGTCTGTTGTTGTTGTTGTTGGTGGTGGTGGTGGTGTTGGCCAGGAATCTTCATCACCTCTGTTTCCTCTATGTGTTCACCTGAAGGAAGTCCTATCTTCTCTGGATGCTTCTTCTGCCAACTTGTTCCAGTTTGTGGAAAGAAGCAAGAAATAGATGCGCTATACAGAATCTCAGCTTTTGCGAAAGCTGGGGGTTACAGCAGCCCTTATGCCCAAACTGAAACAGGCACTTGGAGCGTATAACCACTGTGTATGTGGTGACCCTCTCTCTCTCTGCTCATCCTCAGTGAATAAATTGATGTTTTTGAAGATTTCAAGAGGTCACCACATATAAACCCAATATATGCTGCGATATTATTATTATTGTTCCCTTGGGTTCCTAGTGGAACATAGGGCTTCAGCTGCACGCCTCCACTTGCTTCTGTCTTCTGCTGTACTTCTCACTTGCATCCATGTTAGTCCATACTGTTTCAACTCCTCTTCACACGATCTCCTCCATGTCACCCTTGGACATCCCCACTCGCCGCTTCCCTTTCGGGTTCCACTCGAGCGATGGCCTGACGCGCGATGTCACCCAGCGGCCTCCTCAGCGAGTGTCCAATCCATCTCCACTTTCTCCTGCATATTTGTTGGCCGATTGGTTCTTGTTTCGTTTGTTTGTTCCCATAGTTTCTTGTTGGTGATTCTTTCCGGCCATCTGATCTTCAGTATCGAGCGAAGACAACCTGTTGGAAATATTCTTGGTGACCTACCAAGTTTCTCATCCGTATACAAGAACTGACTGACTTGACGTTTGTATTGAAAATCCGAATTCTATTGTTGAGTGTTGCTGAGTGACGAAGATTTCCAGATTGGTTTCAGGTTGATGAATGTGTTTCTCGCCTTCCCGATTCTCGATTTGACATCTTCGTCCGTTCCTCCTGTAGTTGATACAATGCTCCGTAGATAAGTGAATGAAGTCACCTCTTTCAAATCCCTCCCGTTGATGGTGATTGGCGCTGGATGTTGCTGTTGTTGTTGTTGTTGGTTGGTTATTTTCATAACCTCCGTCTTGTCTATGTTCACCTGGAGTCCTGTCCTCTCTGGCTGCTTCTTCGACCAGTTTGTCAGTTTTCGCTTGTAAGTCTTCGATTTTGTGTGACATCAAACATAAATCATCCACGCGTGAAATCCAGGTCTTTTTGGGCTCTTCATGTCGGTCCAGGATATCCCTGTCTTCTCGTTTCCCACTGTCTGACGCATAATCCAGTCCACCACAATTAGGAATATCATTGGTGATAATAAGCACCCTTGTCTGACTCCTGTGTAAATTTGGTTTCCTAAGAAATTCCTTGAATGGCATAAGTAAGTATGCATGCAATAGATGATTTGATGAAGTGACTTTTTTGGTCCTTTTTTGTATCATTGCAGCACCATCTCATCGATTTGCAACTCTGTGTCAACCCACATCGGCGTACAAATATGTGATTTTTAACCGCTGGATAGCTAATAATATGTCTTCCATTCTAATTACTCCAGCGAGTTGTCATCTGAAGTGGTGACGACTACTGGCGTCCATCAAGGATGCCCATTATCCCCATTCCTATTCAACTTCATCATAGACGTACTAATGGACTTAACCCTAACACACTTCAGTGACTCAGGGATTGATTTGCTACCAGGGAATAATCTCGTCGACTTAGAATATGCGGACGATATAGTCCTTCTAGGCGAGGACGCTGAAAAAATCCAGCAGAGTCTACTGAACACCTTGAGCAACAATCTTCGTATGTTTGGCATGCGATTCGCCCCTGTAAAATGTAAGATGATGCTGCAGGATTGGACTACACCGACCCCTAGATTAGAAATAGGAAGTGAAGTGGTAGAGCACGTTGACCGCTTCACTTACTTGGGAAGTACCATCAGCCAGTGCTAATGTGTTGATATCCGACGAAATCTCAGCACGAATACAGAGGGCTAGGTTCGCATATGCCAGTTTTCGCCGTCTCTGGCGTAGACGTGATATCCGACTATCGACCAAAAGGCGTGTGTACTGCTCACCAGTCCGCTCCGTCCTCCTTTACGACTGTGAGACCTGGCGATTGAGAGCAGAAGACATGAAAAGATTAGCTGTCTTTGATTATAGGTGTCTGCGTTCTATCTCCCGCGTGAAGTGGTATGATAAGGTGAGCAATATTGAGGTTAGGCGTCGAGTGCTAGGTATGGCGGGGAAATCAATAGACGAGGCTATGAAATTACATCGACTGAGATGGTTAGGACATGTGCTACGTATGCCTAGTCATCGACTTCCTCGACGGGCAATGTTATCTGATATAGGGCCAGTCTGGGAAAGAGCTAGCGGCGGTCAAACGAAAACATGGCACCAGTCAATGAAACCCACAACGGCTAGTCTAAGCCACGTAGGAAGGTGTAGACTGGCTTCCTGACTGGTTGGGGTCCTCGGGACGGTAAAAACCAATGGCTGGAAACAATTGGTGACATGGCTCAAAATCGTTCTCAGTGGCGCAGATGCATCCACTCCTTGTGGCTTATGATTTCCAATTAAACTGTTTTGTTCTCCGTTATTACTATTCCTTTGTCTCATTACACCTCTGTTTGCTGTCTCTCTATTATGGATTTCTCCTACTTTCTTCTGTTGCTTTGTGTACTACAAGGAGTGGAGTGTGGTGACTTGAACTGCCGCACATATGTGCAAAGTTCTTTATCGAAAACCGACCGACCGAATTGCTCCGTGTACCTAAGTTACGAATTCTTATCGAGCCTTTGGAAACCTTTGTGGGTTATGGTTCATTGTCGACGTAAAATTTTTACGTCTTTGGAGTATAAACAGACCTTTGAACTTTCTACAAACGTTTTTTCACTTATACTAATTTTAATATTAGTTTGTTTATTAGATGTATCACACAGTCAGTGAGTGAAACAGCATTAGTATTAACTGGATGACAGAGTTTCAAACACAATTCATTATTGTTCATAATTATATCACCAATTTTAATCACACGACCTCGAAACTTGAGTTTTATAGTTTTCTTTGTTCCCTGCGATTTGTCGTCATTGGAGAAGTAGAATTTTTCAGATATTGGGGTGGAGAGGTTTTGAATCATTCCTATTGCAGGCACGTATTTGCAGTTGATTCTATGAACAAAGCTTCTGTTATCAATCTCTCACTCCCTACACTCTGTTAGTTGTATTAGATTTTAAAACTGTCATCCTATCCCATCCAGCCTATTGTATGGTTGTGTGTAATTGCATGTAGTGCTTGCGATAGCTGCTGAACTATTCTCTAGATTTCTTATCTTATTCGGGTCAACTAATCTAGATTTCGCTGCTAGGTGTTTATGCTGCTCGGCTAGTGTGACTCACTGCCCCTGTTTTACTACTTTCACCTATGTATTTGACCTGACAATCATTCCAGCAGGCAGGGTATTAGATAAACTAAATTGTTTTGTCGGTTAAAGGCTCCACAGGATTGATCCTTTAACCGACAAAGCTTGTTTCTAATTGAGTTTGTGGTTGGTTTGAATGCCAGCAGCCACTTTTATTCCTGCCTGCCTTGTTAAGAATTCTGCGTAAGGTGGGTGGTTTCCGAGGTTCCCTCCTTGTATGGAATTACTACTGATGATTTAGATTCCTTATTGTCGGTGTTGTCATCATCTAATGTAACGGGAAGCTTTGTTCATCGAATTAACTGCAAATACATGCCTACAATAGGAATGATTCAACATCTGTCCAGCTGGACATCTGGAAAATTCTACTACCCTAATGACGACAAATAGGAGAGAACAAAGAAAACTATCAGACTCCTCAAGTTTCGAAGTCGTGTGATTATAATTGGTGATGTGTATGATTATGAACAGCAATAATGATGAATTGTGTTCGAAACAACTTTGTCATCCAGTAAATACTAATACTGTTTCACTCACTGACTGACTGTGTGTGATACATCCATCTAATAAACAAACTAATATGGAATTACTTACTACCACCACAGTGCCCAAGGTTTACATATATATTAATGAGGAATATACTACATGAAAGTTCCGACTTCTTTACGTGTAAGCTTAACTCCATCGTATGAAATTGCAAAATAGAAAGATAGATAGATAGAATGAGGCGTAGATATTTAATTTCCGACTTGATTTCTATTTCATTGCTATCTATGTTGCATACCTCGTGAGAGCCAACCAGTTTGTTTAGGTCAGATTTATGCCTCAAGGTGAAATTGACTGTTTGGCATTTGGAGGGGTTTAAGGTAAGACCGTTTTCCTTGGACCACTGGCTGATTTCTGACAGAAAGCCATTAAGTTTAGAGCAGTCACTTTGACATTTGACAGGCAAAGATACTGTCAGGTGGTCAGCATATTTAACAAAATTAATGTCATTTGAAGATGGTAAGTCATGTAGAAAGAAAGAAAAGAGAAGTGGGGAGAGTACAGCACCTTGGGGGACACCAGCTTCAGTGAGTACAGCAGAGGAGGATTTACCTTTGTATATGGTGTACTGCTTTCTGTTAGAGAAGTAGGAATGCAGCCAGTTAGTGACCCAGGACTCAATTTTTGTCATAGAAAGCTTATTTAGCAAGGGACATCTAGGTACAGAGTCGAAAGCCGAAGTGAAGTCGGGAAACGTGCAGCGGACGTATTTGGCACCTTTATCTAATGATGAGACAATACTGTTGTGTAAGACGGCTGCAGCGTCTAAAGTGCTCCTACCCTGTCTATAGGCAAATTGTTTAGGGTCTTCAAAGTTTTTAAGGGAGGGTTCAAGTTTAAGAAGTACTAGTTTTTCCATATTCATATCCACATTACGAAGACTGGAGTGTAACCGCACTCATTTTGAAGTAAGAGCGACTCACATTAACTTTTACAGTCATGGTGTGTATCCATTTATATATTCACTGTAATTTTGTGAGTGTGTGGAACGCATAACTTTAAATTTTGCTTTATTTATCTTTCATTCTTCTAGACTCATGAAGTGACTTTAGAACGGATTGCACATACTGTACAGTTGAAGAAAACTCGCGAGGGACGAAATCCCGAAACCTCCTGTCCGCCTAAATCTGAGGCTACACAGTTCCTCCTCCCGCTATCGAACCGTTCAGATCAAGAGACTAACTTGAAATCGATTCGACCTACTCCCCCCCGCAAAAAAGAAAACCAGCGAACGATCCAGAGATGTCAAATACTACAGCACAACAACAGTCATCACAGAAGAAAACACACTCGAGAACTCTGAGCAGCAGTAGTAGTGGTTCCAGTGGCAGCAATAGCAGTGGCAGTTGTGATATGGACGTGGAGTCATCCGACAGTGATGATGATGGCGACAGTGTTTCAGATCGAAGTGATTCAACTTCTTCTACTCTGAGCAGTTTATCATCAAGTAAACGGAAGAAATCAGTGAGAACTAAGCCACCGTCTTCGCATACAAAATGTGACGCTAAAGCGGCGTCGGCGCCGGTGGCGGCAGTGGTGGTCAATTCGAATTCGGCAGCTCATCGTAAATTAATTGAGCATGATTTAAAGTTAAGTGATTCTGACTCTGATTGCTGCAGTGACTGACTGACTGACTAGGAGAAGGAGAAGGAGAAGTAGATGTACACTACACACAACCGAAGGAATTAGTTTTGCCAATTGTAAATATACATTTTAACACAATCTTTATTGTAGTAATAATTGTGATGTGATCAATGCTAAATATTTGTAAAATGTTTCGAAAACTGATTAGTTTTTTCTTTCTTTTTTTGACAGATCTTGTGATATTTTATCTATTTATCATTAAAAAAAATAAATACTGTTGTCTCCCTGTACCACATCTCATTTTTTCCCTTGAACTTTTAACAGTAATCGATTTTTGTTCGATGGAGATTTTTACTCATTAACTTTCTTTAATGTTTATAGTGTGTAGTGTGTATTGTGACTGTGTGTGTGTGTGTGTGTGTGTGTGTGTGTGTGTGTATGAACCAAAATAGATAGTGATTTTTATTTATTTATTTGATAGTACTATTGTAACAACAGAGGGATAACGGGCCAGTCAGGCAACAGATCGTTTATCTTAAGGAAATCAACACACATATTTATCGATTTTCATGTACATACATTATTATTATAGATTATTGTTAGCAGACAAACACAGTCTTCTGATTGGTGGTTGTTTCTCTTTGTGGGGCTGTTTCTTGAAGGTCAGATCATCTATCTATCTATTTGCTAATTGTATCCGCCTACGCAAACAAAGTGTGTGCTGTGATTGGTTGTTCGTTGAGTCAGTCAGTCAGTCTTTGTTCTTGTTTTCTCATGACCAATATTTGGGACATCAACAACATTGACGTAAATTACTGTCTACCAATTTTTCGGCTAGTGCAGACAGCTCTCACCACACTCGTCCCCCCCTCAGTCAAAGACTTCCGACTGAATTGGTTGGTTCGGTCTTCTTGGTTCTAGGGGCTTTGTTCGTTTGTCTTGCTGTCTGGAATCTCGGCGCTCGCTGATGTTCACCTGTTTCTCTTTGTTTACCATTGCAATTGTGTCTGCGTAACCCAATCTCAAAGTGACGATACGTAGTCCTTCCCACTTTGGAAACTGTCTGCCTGACCCTGTCGCACATTCGCCGGTATTTTGCCTCACACTTTCATATGCTGCTTCCAG